ATATTAAGACAGGGGAGCTGCAAGAGAGAAAGAGTAATTCACATAGAGCCAGCTGTGTAGGAAACCGAAGTTTTATTATTACTGAAACCAGTCTCCCTGAGCATTCAGGGACTGGAATTTTTGAAGATAATTTGACGGGAGTTCTGACTGTCAGGTTGGAGATGAAATCTTAGGGAGTCGAAGCTGTCCTCTTGACCTGAGTCAGTTCCTGGACAAGTGGCCACAAGACCAGACAAGCTAGTTGATTAATCTGGATAGTGTTTGCTGGTACATTGAATGCAACGTCTGCAAAATACGTCAAGCAGTGATCTTACATTTCAAAATAGTGATGTTATCTGCAGGAGCAATCTGGGGAGGTTAAGAATCTTGCAGCCTCCAGCTGCATGATTCCTAAACCATAATTTCTAATTTTGTGACTAATTTGTTAGTCTTGCAAAGGCAGTGTAGTACCCAGGCAGGAAGGGAATCTGTTTTGGAAAAGGGCTACTATTGTCTTTGTTTCAAAGCTAAACCATAAACTAAGTTTCTCCCAAAGATAGTTTGGCCTACGCCCAAGAATGAAGACAGACAACTTTGAGGTTCGAAGCAAAGTGGAGTCAGTTAGGTCATACCTCTTTCACTGTAAAAATTGTCTCGGTTATAATTTTTACAAAAGCAGTTCTGATATCTTTAGTAGTACAAAATTAGTAGAATGCTGTGGTCTTGAAAATAAAGAATCAACATTATTATGTCAATTTTCCTTGAGTTACCTAAATGTAAGACTATTCCAATAAAAATACCATCAAGCATTTTTATGAACCTAGGTTTTAGGATTCATTTGGTAAAACCAACAAGTAAGAATACTTAGGAGGATCTTGAAAAATAGCAATGTTGATAGGAGGGTAAATCCTACCAAATGACAAAATATATTATCATGTTTATTTTATTAAATCAGTAGAGTATTTGCATATACATAGATACATGAATCAGTGGACCAAAAAAAAAAAGTCAAGAAATAAAAAAAAGTTATATATGACAAATATGACATCTCACAACAGTTGGGAGAAAAGATGGGCTTTTTAAATTAGTGGTGTTGGAACTACACAACAGCAAAACACAAAAGTCAAAATTTGATCTGTTCCTCACACCATACACCCTGATGTGTTTCAAGTAGATCAGAGGTTGAAAAGATTGAAAAGTTAAATGAAACACAATACCAGTAGTAGAAGGCAAGGATGCTTTAATCTATTACCTGTGAGAAATGACTATTTTCTTCTTAAAATTCAGATACTGTAAGGGAAAATACTAATAAATTTGATAACATTTAAAAAACCTTTTGTCAGAAAGAAAACACCATCAGCAAAAATAAAATAAAATTAAATAAAATAAAAATCATATAAGTTACATAACAGAAAAATAGTTAATATCAATAATATACAAAGAGCTTGTAAAAAAAAGAGAAGAAATAGCAACAGTCTTATAGGAAAATAGGCGTAAGATAAGAGTATATTAGCCATAGCTAAACATATGAAAATGTATACAACCTCACAAAATATATTAACATTAAAATTACATGGTGATTCCATTTCTCAGTTATCAGATTATTAACAATTCTAAAGCTTGACACAAATCAAAACTTGACCTTACATTTTTTAATGGAAATAATTAACTGCAACAGAGCAGCAGTGGCATTTTGGAAATGAAACCATGATCTTTGTAGTAAAATATAGTTTAGCATAATTTCCACCACTCCTTACTACATTTCTGACACTGAAAGAATTTTAAATCACTCTTTGGCATAGTATCATGATCCAATTAAAATAAAAAGATGCTGCTGATAAAAGTTAAGTAATTATTTGGAGGATGAACTAAATATTAGAAAAAGAATCAATTTGAAGTTTTCACAAGCAGGAAAAAAGTGCAAGAAGTAATCGCTAACTTTCAAGATAGCCATGTATTATGGATCACAGAAACACTACAAAATTTTTAAAAACTGTCCATTCAACATATGCTATAAATTATAATAGTCACATGATTATTTCTGAGTCTTCATATGTCAATGACCACTTCATATAATGCTTTCAGGCTATTGAAACATAGAAAATACAGTGTGTTCATGAAAAGATTGCATTATTTTATTGTGGAAGAAACTATGGGAATGTTTAGCTATTTGTCCCTTGAGTATGCTGCTCCGTCCCACATAAGCTCCTTTCTATCCTTCAAGCAAAGTGTTTATATTAACTTTGTCCTATCAACAATTTCTATCTCTTGTTGTTCATTGATATATCATGTTTCTCATTTAAGAAAAATTCATATGCAATATTCATTCAGTATATGGAATATTTCAAGTTATTAATAATTCACAGTTGTTCCTCATTATTGAATATCTCTTGTAATGTTCCTGGGGAGAACAGCCAGGGTAGTAGTGAAATAAAAATTGGCCAATTACTAACAGCTCAGATGGTTGAAACTCATGGTTGAGATGATTATCTGTGTAGCTTAATTGTGTGCTCTCCTTGGACCTCCTTCTGCGGGTAATTGAAAATCTGCTATGTGATTTCTTTAGCATAAATACTATATGCAGCTGTTAAATCACGTTGCCAAACTTCCTTTTTTTTCTTGCTCTTAAAGGAGAATGCTAGTAGAAGAGGTTTGTTGCAATGTAACAGTTCAGTTGTGTAAGTGTGCTTTTCAGATGTAAACTGTTTAGGTGATTTCTGAAGCTAGGTGACTCAAAAGTAGATTTTTATAATACCATGTCAAAATTACTGCATACCTGCTTTAAAGCAAAAGAACATACTGCATCGTGTTTTAGAAAAAAAAAAACTTTTGAAACAATAAGTACTCTGAGCATCTAAAAGGACAGTTTAAGCAAATATTTTTTGTTTTACTTTAAAAGTATATGCAAAACGTCAAAACACAGCTGTTTTCCCTCAGAGATTGAATACTATTTGGCTGTGTAGTCCTTAGCAAGTTATATAAGATTGGGTTTCCTTGAACCATTAGGATTTAATGACAGCTTCTTTATACCACATTCACTTTAGGCAACAGAATACCTCGAAAGTACAGAATTTGGGAATGCCAGAAAATCATCTTTCCTTAAATATAGCTACCAATTGATGAATACAGATCTTTGTGTTATATCATCAGTACTTTATCAACTCAAATTACACTAAATTACTGTTCAAATCATCCTAAAAGGAGACACTAGCTATCAGTTAAATAAACCATTAGGTTTAACGTAAAATGAGTCACATGGGCATGATTAATCAGTTTTGCTGAGCTCTATCTGATTTCTAGACCCATTTTACCAAAGTAATTGATGGATTTTATTATGAAGACTGGACAATTCCACTTTTAGTTTTATGTGTTATTTTATTTAAACAGTGTTAAAAGACATAGATATGACTAGGAGGAGATTAATAGAGACAATATAGAATTCCTAATGGATGAATAAAGTACAGAAAAATGTAAAATAATCTCAGATGCAAATTTAGAAGAGTTATTTTCTTAATAGAGACCAAAATTGAGATTCTGTAAGAGAAAATAGTAATACATTTGATAACATTTAATTAAAAAATCTTTTGTCAGAAAGAAAACACCATCAGCAAAAAAAAAAAAAATGAAAAAAATTATGTAAGTTATATAACAGAAAAATAGTGTCAGTAATATACAAAGAGCTTGTAAAACACGAGAAGAAAACAGCAATAGCCTTATAGAAAATAGGCATAAGATAAGAGCATATTAGCCACAGCTTAAACATATAAAAATGTATACAACCTCACAGAATACATTAACATTAAAATTACATGGTCATTTCATTTCTCACTTACCAGATTGTTAACAATTCAAAAGCCTGACCACAGAGTTTTGTTTGTTTGTTTGTTTGTTTGGCAAAGCTATGGAAAAAATAGGCAATCCGAACTACAAAAGGGTACAACCACTTTGGAGTAAAATTTGTCAAGATGTAACAAAAAGAGTCTGACTCAATTTTTTGTAATGGACAGCAGACAACTTTTAAGCCTCACCACTCCCACTTGCCCTTCCACACACATCTGGGCAAGCTGATGAGGAGGCCTGTGTGCTCTTACCTTTGATATCAGTAGGAAGTTCAAAACACACAAGTGCTAGCCCCTACGCAATAATTCTTACCCTAACCCCACTCCCAGCTACCATAAAAAACAAACTAGTCTCCTTCCTCCAGTTTCTCAAGCCATCCTTATTTATGTTTGAGACGTTGCCCTGTTCTTGTCAGAAAAACTCATTGTGTGATTAATAGAACTTTTTATACCATCTTGGTGCGTATGTGGCACCATCAGCCTTGATATCCAAACCAAATTTTGGGTGAGGGTCCATCACATTTTTGTGGGACGGCTGTGATAGGGTTGTCTAGAGGGATAGAACTAATAGGATATATGTATATATGAAAGGGAGTTTATTAGGAGACATGACTCATACAGTAACAAGGTGAAGTCCCACAATAGGCTATCTGCAAGTTGAGCAGCAAGGAAGCCAGTAGTGGCCAAGTCCAAGTCCCAAAAATCTCAAAAGTTGGGAAGCTAACATTGCAGCCTTCAGTCTATGTCTGAAGGTCCGAGACCCCCTGGCAAGACGCTAGTATAAGTTCACAAGTCCAAAAGCCAACTAACTTGGACTCTCATGTTTAGGGATGGGAAGCATCCAACACAAAAGAAAGATGAAGGCTGGGAGACTCAGCAAGTTAGCTTCTTCCACCTTCTTCTCCTGATTTTTCTAGCCACACTGGCAGGCAATTGAATGGTGCCCACCCACATTGTGGGTGTGTCTTCCTAAGAGTAAGTCTTGCTCTCCCAGCCCACTGATGCAAATGTTAATTTATCCTGGCAACACCCGGAAACAATACTTTGCATCCTTCAGTCCAATCAAGTTGACACTCAATATTAACCATCACAATGGCCAAACACATTTATTGACTTTTGACTCAGAGTCCACTTCTAAGAATCCATCTCAAAGTCATCTAGCAAAAAAATATAAAAATATAGGCGGTCCCGGCTTCTGTGGGGCGCTGCCCGGTGGCTCTGGTCCCGCGGGGCCATTGGCCCAGCCCGCCGGCCCCTGAGCTCCAGTAGCCCGCCGTTGCAGGAGCTGTTCGCCCAGGGCGGGCCCTTGCGGACCTTCCTCCAGCGCCAGGCGGGGTCTGAAGCCCATTTGAAGGTCAGGAGGCCGGAGTTGGCGGCAGTGATCAAACTGCTGAACGAGAAGGAGCAGGAGCTGCGGGAGACCGAGCCCTTGCTGCACGATGAGAATGAAGATTTAAGGAAACTTGCAGAGAATGAAATAACTCTGTGTCAAAAAGAAATAACTCAGTTGAAGCATCAGATTATCTTACTTTTGGTTCCCTCAGAAGAAACAGATGAAAATGAACTGCAGGAGTTGGAGGTCAGGAGGCAATGTTGTTTACTTCAGAGATATTTGATATGTATCAACAATATGCTGCATTTAAAAGACGGCATTTCGAAACCCTGGAGTATTTTCCAAGTGAAATAGGTGGCCTTAGACATGCATCTGCCAGTATTGGGGGTTCAGAAGCCTATAGGCACATGAAATTTGAAGGAGGTGTGCACAGAGTACAACGAGTGCCAAAGACACAAAAGCAAGGCCGCATCCATACTAGCACCATGACTGTAGCGATATTACCCCAGCCTACTGAGATTAATCTCGTGATTAATCCGAAAGATTTGAGAATTGACACTAAGCGAGCCAGTGGAGCTGGGGGGCAGCATGTAAATACCACAGACAGTGCTGTCCGGATAGTTCATCTTCCAACAAGTGTTGTTTCTAAATGTCAACAAGAGAGATCTCAACTGAAAAATAGAGAGCTGGCTATGACAAAGTTACGTGCCAAACTGTACAGCATGCATCTAGAAAAAGAAACAAATAAAAGACAGAATGCTAGAAAAATTCAGATTGGAAGTAAAGGAAGATCAGAGAAAATAAGAACATATAATTTTCCACAGAACCGGGTCACAGATCACAGAATAAGCAAGACACTGCATGATCTTGAAACTTTTATGCAAGGAGATTATCCACTGGATGAACTTGTACAGTCATTGAAGGAATACGCCGATTATGAATCTTTAGTAGAAATTATTTCCCAAAAAGTTTAAGTTGATTTGTTATTTATAGACTTTTGTAGCTTAGAAAAATTCTACAGCATATCCACATAGGGTGAAAATACCCTTATTCTCTTAAAAAACATGAGTTAACACAGTTGGAGGTAATATGCATATTTTGAAGTCATAGATAATTTACACAGATCTCTCTCAATGCATTAGCAAAAATCATACAATATACAGATGGTCCTCGATTTACATTGTGGTTAATTCCCAGTAAACCCATCATAAGTTAAAAATGCATATAACGTTAGCAACACAGCAGCCTCCTACTTAATGACAGCCTGATGTAACAATTTTCCAATTTTACCGTGGTATGAAAGAGGCATAATTTGTAAGTCCTGAGGAGCTCCTCAGCTTGAAATGGGGCTGCATCCCTGTAAACCCATCATAAAGTCAAAAAATCCTAAAACCATCATAAGTTGGTGGCCACCAGTAATCACGATGTAGTGATAAATCTTGGACACTTCCTCACAATAAGTAGACAAAGGAAAATCATCCTTTGTCCTGTTCTATGTAAGTATTTAATGAATGATCAAAAATTCAGTTTAAATATTATGAAAAACTTTAAACATAAAGTAGTAGAAATATGACAGTAAATACTGGATCCTGATATCTAGTCAGGAGACAGAAACCATACCATTAACTTGAACAGGGATAATTTTAATATAAAAAACTGTTAACTGATAATGGTATTAGCTTTTAAGAGGGATGAAAGAGAGCTACGATGTTCTAGGACTGAGAGTACCCAAGTTAAGAATAACCTTGAAAGGGGCTCCCGTTACCTATAGTGAAGTCAGGCCTGATGGAGAGAGAGTGGCTATAGCCTACTCAGTGATGGGGAAATTCCCTGTTTCGCCTTGGGCCAGAGCTGGTGTACAGCTGGTGGATCAGTCTTACAAGCAAAGAACCTCACACCTTCTACTGGTAAGCCAGAAGCCTCTTGCTAGGGTGTGAGCAAAACTTGGACAGGAACTCTCAGTAGATGTTTGTGTTTGTCAAGATTCTCCAGACAAACTCCCTTAAAAGGATTGGCTTGTGTGATTATTATTATGTCTAACAAGTCCAGAAGCTGGAGTGTGAGGCAGGAGGCTGGAGACCCAGGAAAGCTGATGGTGCAGGTCCAGTCCAAAGGTATCTGTTGGAGGATTCTCTTGTTCTTGGAAGAGGACAGTCGTTTCTTCTCTTCAGACCTTCACCTGACTGGATCAAGCCTACTAACATTGAGGAGGGCAGTCTGCATTACTCAAAGTTCACTGATTTAAATGTCAATCTCATGTAAAAACACCCTCTCAGAAACACCTAGCATAATGTTTGACCTTATGATTGGAAAATCAGAGCAGAAGTTAAATCTCTTAAAAAAAGAAAAGTATGACCCAGTAGCTAGGCACCCTGTGGCCCAGTCAAGTTGACACATAAAATTAACTGTCACAGTATCATCTTAGAAGCAAGAGAAGCCCCTTTATTCTGCAGTGCCCCTCTACCAATACCTACTGACAAAGAACATGGTGCTATCTGGCATGGGAGAAATGTTCAGTTTGCTATGGCTTGAATGTGTCCCCTCAAATTCAAGTGTTGCCAATATGACAGCATCAAGAGGTGGGCCCTTTAAGAGATCACTAGGCCATGAGGGATTCTCTCAGGACTGGGATGAAGGCCCTTAATAAAAGAGGCTTCAGGGAGCATCCTGCTAGTTTGCCTTCTGTATGTGAGAACACAGCAATTAAGCCCTAGTCAACAAGTGCCAGCTCCTTGATCTTAGACTTCCCATCCTCCACAACTGTAAGAAATACATTTCTGTTCTTTACAAATTAAAAAAGTATATATATAAAAATATGTATCCACATAATTATTTCTTACAGCACTGATTTTGTCATTGCAAACAACTGGAAACAATCTGAATGTCCAGTAATAGGGGACTGTTTAAGAAAATGATTGAGCAGCCAAACAATTAAATATTGTACAAGTGTAAAAAGAAATAAGGAAGACCTCTGTATGCTATTATGGAATGACATCCAAAACACGTTATGAAGTGAGAAAGGGCACATATATAACAATTTGTATGGTACGCTAACTTGCACTTAAATAAGAAAAATTGATATATCTATATCTATACATATTTATTTTTTTCTTTACAAAAAAATAAGGTAATACTAAAACAAATTAGCAAAATGTTCACCTAAATAAAAAGTGGTAGGGACAGGGTGTAGTGGAAGGAAATGGAAGACAGATTACCATGCTTATAAATTTGACTTTGGTAGTATATAACTGTCTTACATATTATAAACAAAATGAAATCAAAATGAAAAATCAATACTTGAAAATAAAAAAACAAAAATTATACCATCTGAACTGTGTATCTTGTTAGAGGCCTACACTCACACATAATTATTTCAAATGACTTTAAAATGAGTTAACTACGTATCCTTAGTAGGGATTAGCCTAAGGACGAAAGAAAATGCAAAGAAACATTAAACTGACTTATGATTATATTTTTACTAACCATATTGATCATTTTATTCTGAAGATTTGTGTAGATATTGCCAGAGAAAGCAAATAAATATTTGTGTTAATGTCATTGGAAGCTAAGACTTTCAGTATAATTAAACAGATACTTAATACTCTGAACTAATTTTAAAGGGAAAATATCAGTAAGAATTTATGATATAAATTCTAAAATCTGTAAATCTGTTTTCTTGATTTGCACTGAAAAAAAAAAAAAGACAAACATATATGTGATGAGTTGTCCTAAATTTGCAATGATGAACTCTATGATTTTTCCAATTAAGGCAACCAGAGATTCTTGGAGAAATAATAATTTAAAAAAAGGGGGAGTGGTAAACAAAATGTGCAAAATGAGCCTGGAGCATGTTGTCATGCCAGAAAACAGGAAAGCTATAAAAAGAAATGATTTGCATCATGTTAAAAGGATTCAGATGCCTAAAGAGTTTCCTGCTAGCCAAAGTTCAGATAATATGAGCATCAAAAGTAGTAATAACTACAGTGGATAGAAACACATTGCAAATTCATGAATTAATTATGTTGAGTTAAAAAAAAACAACTTCAGTTTGCAGGTTTCTGTGGAACCAGTTTTGGAAACTGGCAAATGAAGGAAAGAGTCGGGCAGTTTTCTTGCTTCTCTTGTGCAAATTGTACTCAGGGTAGCCAAATAGTGCAAAAAGTTTTTAAAAATTACTTTTGCTAACAAATAACAAATTGAAAGAATTAGTATATTCCCATTTTGCAAAGTCTAGTGAAATCACAGATTTGAGAAATGATCGTAAATGAATGCTGAAACTATTATGTGAAAAGCTGATGGATAATTTAATAATGAATTGATGAATGAAGCTGACACACTTGACTTACTGATCAAACTTTTTATCACTGTAAAAGGAGACAACGGGACATTATGAATCTCTGTATATGATTCTATGGAAAGTTAAAGAAGCCCACTATATGTGAATTTTCATTCCCAAACAACTGTACCTGAGAACCGCAATCTGTATGACATATGGGAAATAGATCAACATATTAAATAGTATCATGAAAATACAATCTATGAAATCTTGAGTGTGTAGAATTATAGTAGTAGGTTTTAAACTTTAGCATGCATCAGCAGATTGTTGGGCTCTTAACTCTAGAGTTTCAGGTTCAATAGGTTTGGAGCGTTCCTTGAGAACTTACATTTCTAAGTTTAAGTTCAATTTAAGTTCCCAGATGATGTTCCCAGATGATGCTGATCCCTGCTGATCTCAGGACTACCAGTGGCCTTTTCCCACAAATACAGTGAACATATAGAGTAAAATACACTTAGGAAACACTCCAGGAATATGGCATGTGCAGATCCTCTTTGGATTCTGATTTGAAAAAAGTTTGTAATAAATGTTCATGAAGAAATTGGAGAAATCGGCTCAGTGATACTTTACTGTAGACATTATTATTAAATGTTAATATGTGATAAACATGTTTTCTGTGTTTTCTTTAGGTGTGAATTTTAGAGATATATACTAGAACATTATTGGCTAAATGATATTAAAGATGGTGAATACGTGGTGTTGTATATAGTATTCTCTATATGTTCAAAATTTTCTAAAATAAAAATTGATTTATAAAGCCAGAATGTAAATCTATTTTCATTGTCATTTCTAAAAACCCAGAAGGTTTCTGGATATTATAAAGACATTCAATATAGATATAGTTGTGTCAATTTTATAGTATTTAATTTTCAGATAAGAGTTTTGTTATAGTTTATAAAAGAGGCTTTCCTATTGAGGACTCAGAACTATTTTGGAACCTAAAAATAAATGTGATTCCCAGCAGCTTCAAGTTTTGATATTCAACAAGCTAATAATTTTTTAAGTTAAATATAATGAGCTATTGCTCAGCAAAAGAATGTGTTTTTTCCTTTTAACTTCTAACAAATTCGGTATCTAATGTATAAATAGTATAGAAAAATACGGGGTAATGTAAAAATATAGGGACATTGTGGCTAAAGAATTAAAATCACTTGTAAAATAAACATATTCTTATGGCAAAAAAATCAGCAGCTAAAGCACCAGTTCTTTTCAAGTTATATTCTCAAACATATAAATTATAAAAATATTATGGATTACACTATGCTGTATGTTTTCATTTTATTATTTGTTATATATTTATATATTACATATTTATATTTAGTTTTATGATATATAATATCGCATATATATATCACACATATATATAGAGAGAGAGAGAGAGAGAGAGAGAGAGACTTTGTGAACCTCCCTTCTCTCCCTCAATTTAATGGGGACTGCCTTGAGATGAGGCTGTTAGTATGGTCTCTTGGAAGGCCACAAACTTAATGGGATTTTTGTTCTGAGTTACTTTATTAAATTAAAAGGTTTTACTAGGTGCCACACTCTTAAGCAAACTTTTCCCAGAGGAAATTTAAATCAGATTAAAAGTTTTATTGGGCATTCATTCCTTAAAGTCTTATCACTCTTGCCTTTTATATTTGGAGCTCAGAAGTAGTCTTTTAAACACTGGAATTTCTGGACTTTTCTATTTCCATTATTATTATTATTTGCTTTGAAACTAACCAATTATTTTCAGAGTTCTTCTTTTGCTTGTAATACTATGCCAAACACAACAAATAACAACTAACACAATTACCATTAGGTTGACGCAAAAGTAATTGAGATTTTTGCAATGAAATTTTTTTTAAAAAACACAATTACTTTTGCACCAACCTAATAACATTTTCATTTTCTACTTTGCTTTCTAACTTCTTTTTGTCTACAAGTTCATTTGTTCTATGTTCTAATGAATAATTTGTGAAACATGACAGTTATTCCAAATGTCTTGTCATTGTATAATATGATTACCATCCTTCCCAGCTATATTAAAATGTTTTATTTTATTTTACTGTTTCCACATCTACAATCAAAGTAAGGTTAATTTTTTTTTTTTTTTATTCATCCTAGTAGGTTGGGCTATGCTGCAGTTACAGAGGCTGGCAAATTTCGGAGGCTCTGCACAATCACCCAGGGACAGAGGCTGATAGACTTTTCACTCTCTTGAAGCTACACCATTTAGAATGTGTATATATGATAACCTGTCAGGGGAAGAAAAGACTGGAACTGATTTTTTTAAACCAATTAGCCATAACTGTGGCACCATCTGCAGCCTAATTATAAAGGAAAGTATAATTATCCTGTGTAACTGAAGGGGGGA